TGGCGAGGCCTTGTCACTACAACAAATCAAAAAATTAGCTGGGCATGGTGGCACATGCCTGTGGTTCCAGCTACTTGGAAGGCTAAGATGCAAGAATCGCCTAAGCCCGGCAGGTCGAGGTTTTGGTGGCCATGATCATGCCACTGCACTCCAGTCTGGGTGACAGAGTGAGACTCCAACTCAAAAAAAAAAAAGTAAAATAAAACCTTTTTCTTGTAATTATTAAAATAAAAGTTTTCTACAAGAATGTTTGGAGAAGAGTAAAGATGGAAAATTCTACTTAAGTTAGATCATTTTCTTCTTTATAAATCCTCATTTTCTGGTGTATGTACAAAAAACATGTACATTTATAACTAGAAACTTTTTTCCTTTTTTTATTATAAAGATGTGGGTACAATTCAGGGTTAGGTACACAAATGTTGATTATGCAGTTACCCTTGTGGATGAGGTATGCCCCTCCCTTCCCTAGCAGTTTCCCTTAACTGCCAATCTCATCTCCCCTCCCCTGACAGTTTCCCACTACTGCCAATCGCTTTCTTATAGTATTATAACTGTTATAACTAGAAACTATTTAAAAACTTAATGTGTTAGCCGGGCGTGGTAGCACGTGCCTGTAGTTCCAGCTACTCGGAAGGCTGAGGCGGAAGGATCACCGGAGCCCAGCAGGTCAAGGCTGCGGTGGCCGAGAGCGGCCACTGCACTCCAGTCTGGGCGCGACACAGTGAGACTCCAACTCAAAAAAAAAATGTTAATGTGACCAATGTTCAAAGTCAGTGTGCCATACTGCTGAGAGCCCAACATCTGTGTACCCAGCCTGAGTCATGAGATTTAGAGGACAGCAGAAATAATGCAGTGGCCAGGTGTTTTAACATTCGATCTTTTCCATCATTACTCTAATTTTTTTATTTTACTTTTTAAAAACTGGGTGAGGGTGGAGGGTCTTCTCACACTCCAGGGCTACACATGCACACCACGGCACCGGGCTCTTTGTCACTCTAAAGGAACACCTGAACACCACAGGAAAGGTGTGAATGCACAGGAAAGGTTCACCATCGAACATACCAGAAGGTACCTGGGAGCAAGCTTAGCAGAGATGACAAAAGGCTTTCTAAAACTTCTTAGATGTCCAGACTCGGTTTCCCATAAAGTTCATTGTTCGGCTAAGAAAGTGACATTGGAAAGAGGTGGGGGTTGGGGAAAATGAAAACTGCTCTCTAAGCAGACAGCAACAGATCAGAGGTACAGTCTGGGTTCCGCCATTAAATAACCACATGGCTGGACACCGTGGCTCGGCCTGTAATCCCAGCACTTTGGGAGGCCAAGGCGAGAAGACTGCCTGAGCCCATGGGTTCGAGATCAGCCTGGGCAACTTGGTGAGACCACGTCGCTACGATAAATCACAAAAATTAGCCAGGCGTGGTGGCGTGTGCCTGTTGATCCAGTTACTTGGAAGGATGAGGTAGAGGGATCGCCTGAGCCCAGAGTCAAGGTTGAGGTGGCCATAAGCAGCGTGCTACTGTACTCCAGCCTGGGTAACAAAAGTGAGACTCCAACTCAATTATTAAATAAAGAGCCACATGATTTTTCCCAAAGTCTCATCATCACTCTTCCCTGGCCTCAGTTTTCTTTTCTTTTTTTTTTTGTTTTTTTGAGTTGGAGTCTCACTCTGTCACCCAGACTGGAGTGTAGTGGCCGCTCCCAATCACCCGCAGCTTCGGCCTGCTGGGCTCCAGCGATCCTTCCGCCTCAGCCTTCCAAGTAGCTGGAACTACAGGCGCGCGCTACCACACCTGGCAAATTTTTTTGTTTTTATTATAGAGATGAGGTCTCACCAAGTTGCCCAGGCGGGTCTCGAACCTGCGGGCTCAGGCAATCCACTCACCTCAGCCTCCCAAAGAGCGGGATTACAGGCTGAGCCACCGAGCCCGGCTATCCTCAGTTTTCCAGCTAAAAATAAAAATAAAAAAACAAAAATTGACCCTTGTTAACTATAAAATCCTTTGTTGTTTGTTTGTGTTTGTTAGGTAGAGAAGAGGTTGAGCTATGTTGCTCAGGCTGGTCTCAAACTCCTGGCCTCAAGTGATCCTCCTGCCTCGACCCCCCAAAGTACTGTACTGGGATTACAGACATAAGCCACCATGCCAAGCCCTTGATTTCTTATTTATAAAGCCCTCAGCCCCCAACGGAGTCAAGAATAAGATTTTTCTGCTAACCCCACTTCACAGATGATGAGCAAAGTAATGTGTAAGCTTCATGTAAATTTACTCAGAGTCAGTTTGCATCTTTTTTTTAGGCTTCTACTTAATCCACTGAAATATACTGCCTTTAGAGTCTGTATAACAAAGTGTGACATATGACATTACCTTATTCAACTTTAAACAAAGCTCTAAAAAGAAATTCAGAGAGCTCTTGGCAGATTGCTTATTCTGAAAGACAATAGTCACAATGACTTAATTTCTTAAGTTCTCTTAGTCACTTGGCTAAAAAACTGTTCAGGGATGGCATGAGATCAGGCCAGTCTGCTGCTTACGTGTTTTTCTAGTTGTCATCTCCATTGACTACCTGAAGTGAAATGAACAAACACTCTGCTTTGAGTTGGAAGTGGTTGTGGCTGGGAGTATGCACAGAGATAAATCACAGCAACTTTCTCTGAACCCAAGGCTCCCCTCCATGTCTGCCTCATTCACCAACAGCTCTGAGCTACTCCAGTCCATCGAAACACACGTATCAAAGGAATTTTTTTGTTTTGGGGCCTTTTTCATTTAGCTTTCCTCAGATATTAAGCAAGCCCAGCTCTTATTCCATATTTTTAATAATCATAACTATACTGACCAGATACCATATATGTGTATATATTGATAAACACAGTTTTGTTTACTTCTTTTAGTCTGAGTCAGGGTCTTACTCTGTCACCGAGGTCCAAGAGCAGTGGCACGGGATTACAGCTCATCGCAGCCTCAACCTCCTGGAATCAGGCCATCCTTCCACCTCAGCCTCCCAAGTAGCTAGGACAAAGGCACCCACAACCACATCCAGCTAATTTTTTTGTTTAGAGAGATGAGGTCTCACTATGTTGCCCAGCTGCTCTCAAACTTCTGGGCTTAAGGAATTCTCCTGCCTCAGTCTCCCAAAGTGCTGGGATAACAAACGTACACCACCACACCTGGCCAAAATAAAACAGTTTGGAAATTATTTACAATGGCTTTGGCCCCCTCCTTTACCTTAAGGAGGTGAATCTCCCCACCCCCTCTAATATACTATCTAAATAAACTATATTTTCCAATCTAAAAAATAATAATTTACAACCAAAAAGGATCCCCCAAAATCACAGAAAATTATTGCGTCTCTTTCTGTTTGCATTTATTACTAAGTCCATCTTAATAAAAATCACAATAAACATTCAAAACTGCATTTACCTAAGTAAACTTAATATATGGTGCTAGCTATTTTGGAACTGTATATAGAGACCAATGTCATCCTTCGGAACAATAGTATCACAGCCAACGCCGCATTCAGAAAAATGTCACGTTATTAAATCACATACTTGACTTCCACTAGCCATCAGAAGTCAAAGCACTGAGCACATGTCCATCCTGTCACTTAATCACCCAGAGAAGACCAGCTGTTGAATAAATGACCATCATGTCTGTTTCAGAATCCCAGCACTGCACCAGCCCCAGAAACATAAAAAAATAAATAAATAAATAACTCCACGCACAAGGTGTCAACAGCTTTGGGATAGGGAAGAATAAAAGTTGGTCACTGCTATGAGTCAGAGTTCGCTATGATACACCTCGGCCATTAGGGCTCTCCCACAGCAAAGCATCAAATTCAGGCCAAAGAAAGGCTTGATTATGTTTTCTAAGTTGCCCATAATGTCTCAACTTTTGAACTAAGCCTACTCTACCAAAGAAATATGGGCTTGAAAATGAACTCTAAAGCAAGTTCTTGGAAGAGGAGTTTTCCCTCGTTGGCAGTGAATGCCAGCCAAGTGCCAGCAATCCTGACCCAAATGGTCCGGCTAGGCTGGCACAACTTCCATCTCATTCTTTGATAGCCTGGCCCCCTATGACCTCACTGGTGACATTTCAAGTTCCAGCTTGGTTTCTCCTCAGGAATGTAATTATCTTAGGGTCCCACATCGGAAACAATCTCCCAGCTAGTGTTTGAGAATACATTTGCCTGTGGGGTCTAATTCAAAAATTCGAATCTAATGTAAAATTCATGACATCAAAAAGCAGGAACAGTGTGAAGGGAATAGTGACACAGTGGCCTCCTGATTTGATGGTATTTTACCAAGTTCCACATAATAAAACTCCTGACCCAATTTCCACACAATTGATCTGTCTGGCCCACAATGACTTCACCACTCTGTTGCTAATTACATCACTGTGTCGTGTGGTCATTGTGTCACCCAGCTGGGACCAGTAGGCTTACTAGGTAAGGTTCACTTTGCCAGCTTGCTTTTCCTCAGAGGACAGGGCCTGCAGACCCTGCGCCCTCATCCCTTACTACACCAAGAGCCACCCTCCTCCCCAAGCCTCACTACTCTTCTCCCATTTATCTTGGTGTCAAATTCCAGGAGATCTGGCTCTGAGCATCGGACTTAGAGTGATCAGGGAAGAGGTTTGGGGTCTGTGCCCAGGAGTCTATTTCAATCCCCAGAATCAGAGCAAGGTCACCGATGTTTTATGGGAAACCCTTCCTCCCTAAAACACACACACACACACACACACACACACACACTTTTCATTTCCTCCGACGTCTAAGAGTTTCCACGTTCTGCATCTCTCAGAACTTCCAGGATCCTGGATGGACCTCGCCAATTCTTCTCTTCTTCTGACCTCTTACAATTCCAACACCCAGAGACTCACTCCCTACTTTGAGAAAGAGCCGTGGAAGGATACGGACACACACATACACACACACGCACGCACGCGCGCGCGCGCCCCCGGGCATCGCGCCTCTGTGCGCCCCTCGGCGGCTCCAGGCTGACTTACTTGAGGAAGTACCTCTGGCCAGTGGCCGTGAAGGTCATCTCCCAGCCCGGGGGCAGCGGCAGCTCGTCGGTCACGTCGTAGGACTGCTGGCGGAGGTGCGCGTGCTGCTGCGCGGGGCTCCCCGCGGCGCCCGCGCCCGGGCCCAGCTGCAGGGACGCGGGCGACGAGTGCGAGCGGACGTGCTGGGCGCCCCCGGCCAGCCGAGGCCCCGGGTGGCCGCCCGACGAGTCGGTGCTCGACTGGCGCGAGTGCGAGCCCGAATCCGGCTCCTTGAAGAAGGACTCGGGCAGGATCTTCTTCCGCCACGAGCTGGGCTTGGGGTTCATGACCGAGTTGAAGAGGGCTTCGAGGTCTGTGTCCAGGTCCTGCGTGACGTGGATCACTTGCTGTCCGGGAGGCGGGAGCGGAGGGGGCGCCGAGGCCGGATTCATCTTCTGCAAAGAGAAGGGAGGTCGGATCGTTCTTATAAATAGAGACGAGGTCTCCCTGTATTGTCCAGGCTGGTCTCGAACTCCTGGGCTCAAGCGATCCTCCTGCCTCGGCCTCCCCAAGTGCAGGGATTATAGGCGTGAGCCACCGCGCCCGGCCAGATCGGCTTTTTATTTCAAGTCGTTGGAAGAGGGGAAGAGGGCTAGAGGGTGGGTGGAGGAAGGGAGACGAGAAAAAGAGGAGACAGATAGGTGTCGGCCGGGAGATCCCAGACGCTCGGCCGGATGGGGGAGGGGTCGCTCCTGGCCCCGGGAATTATGCAACTTTCTTGCAGCAAAGAAGTTGCCGGGGGGAGGAGGAGGCGGCGGGAGGGGGCGGGGGGAGTAAGTGCGCTCCCGACTTTGCTGAAGCGCAGGCTGGCAAAGGGCAGGTCGCAGATTTCCAGGACAGACAGCCCTCCCCCCACCCTCC